AGGAAACCCACATATTGCAATGCCGATTTCAGGTGCTGAGTTCAGCCTGCCTTTCTGAAAGAGAAGAGGAGAAGAACCTGAAAATCAAAAGGCTGATCTCCCTATGAGTGAGAAAACACTGTCGGCAAAGCAAGGACAGTTTACCTGAAGAGAACAAATCTTTTGTAATTGCCTTATCATATGGAATGCTTTGAAATGTTTTTTTTCAGGATCACATGATCACATTAAATAGAGTCTGCAAATAGAATGGATAGAAAAGTCTTTTCTTTTCTCTCTCTCTCTTTTTTTGGTGGAGCATGAGAGGGAGACTACAAGTTTAAAGGAAGGAAACAGATGTGTCTTCCTGGCCTGCCCATTATTTTTTATCTTGTTAGCGGAGTGGAAAATGAACCCTACTGTCAGGCTACCTCTCTTCCCACAATTTATTTTTTTTATCCTACAAACGTGTTTTTCCTTTAACTGTAGAGTCTTAACAGTTGAAATGTCATAAAGATGTTTTCTCTCTCATCAAGATTTACATAAAGTCATAAGATTATTCATGACTATAAGTGAGTTTAGAAGACGGAAATAAAAAGGCCCTATTTTAGGTTATTTTGCATGGAATTGGGAGGATGGTGCAGTGCTTGGGTTTGATGCTGTTGGGGAAAGAACAAAGTGATTCCATCTTTGATGTGTGGAAGCCCAAATGCCCTCAGGGCTCATGTGCCTCTTGGAGGCGCAGACCTCACTGGCTGCCTGGGAAGCTTTGTCAGGAGTGCGGCTGTGGCTGTGATACAGTCGCTATTGTTCTTTTATTGTTTTTTTCAACTTGTATTTTAGAATCAGGGGGTGCATGTGCAGGTTTGTTACGTGGGTCTATTATGTGATGCTGAGGATGGGGATGTGACTGAACCTGTTACCCAGGGAGTGAGCATGGTATCCAATAGGCAGTTTTTCAGCCTTCCTTCCATCCATCTCTTTCCACCTTCAGTGGTCCCACTTGGGGCACTTTAGGCTGCACCATGGACTGGCTACTCCCTTCCGGTAATTCTTGACAGCATTCCTTAGGTCAAGAACAAAGTAAAGGTGAATATGGCACCTTAGGATGCTCGACGCATTCTTCAGAAAACAGGATTTGACCATCAGATGTGCAGACATTGGTACTTGGCCTTCAACCTCTTTCAGCAGGGGAGGAGTTGCACCTTTTACACCCCAGTGAGCTGTGGGTATCAGACAGTCTGCTGCTTATTTGGAACTCCAGTGGGTTGAATAGAGTTCCTGGATTTCAATATGTTATTCCACCATCTCCCAACCTGAAGCTTTAAGGCTTGATGCTACCTCTTGCTACCTAAATCTGAGATTTCCGATTTGATGAGCACTACTAGGACAGCACTCAAGGAATCATAACCCTTTCACAACCCCACTTTCAGGCCACGGCTCAAGTCAGATACAGCTTCTTTGTCTTTCATTAATTCTCTTTTCCTTGGATTTTTTTTCTCATAGCTGGTGTTTGTCTTTCCTCAGTGACCTTTTAGTCCTGAATCTCTCCAACAGGGCTTCCTAACTTTAGCATATAACAGTGTGCAACAGTATGTAATGAAGGAACCATTTAGAAATTAGACTTAAAAAAGGCAAGACATTTTCAACATCTGACCATTGCCAGAAGTCTAAAAAGAAAGTGATATGTTTTTTCTGTCAGCATTTAAAATGGTGGTAATAATTACCTTACTGTTGGAGTGTAAATATCACGGGAGGTTTTGCTAAACGAGGAAGTTGCTGGAAGCACAATACTTGATGAGCTGGGGTCAGCTGGAGTAATGTGACCCTCGCTTTTCATAAACGTTGGTCTGTGCATCCTCTCATGTGCCAGTCTAACTAAACCTTTGGATAGTGAAAGGTGTTCATTTGTTGTGGTGAGTAGACTTTTGTCAGACGTAGTGCAGTATGCTTGGGAGAAATAAAAGCAACCCTGTTACAGTTCGTCTCACATTGTCTTTTTGCGAGTTTCGTAATCTTACACTAAATGTGGCTATTACGGATCAAAGCAAAGTGACAGTACTTGTCATACATCTGGGAGGATGAAGTTAGGAAAAAATAGTGCTTTTCACAATGTTTAGATATGGCCTAACAGTTTTGCTGGTGAACTTAGCAGGAAAGGCATGCACTGATATGAGTCATAAGTCTGGATGGACACTGACCTATTTTTTATTAAATTAAATAAAATAACTAAATTATTTATTTATTTTTGAGTCAGAGTCTCACTTTGTTGCCCAGGCTGGAGTGCAGTGGTGTGATCTCAGCTCACTGCAACCACCGCTCCCGGGTTCAAGCGATTCTCATGCCTCAGCCTCCAGAATAGCTGGGACTACAGGCATGCGCCACCATGCTTCGCTAATTTTTGTGTTTTTAGTAGAGATGAGGTTTTCCCACGTTGTCCGGGCTAGTCTTGAACTCCTGAGCTAAGGTGATCTGCCTACCTCGGCCTCCCAAAATGTTGGGATTACAGGTGTGAGTCACTGCACCCTGCCCTGGCCTATTTTTTAGATTATGGGCTAACGTCTTTATTTACGATTGGACCCCAAATTCCATTTTTCCATACCTAACGTTTGTTACAGTGAATAGATGTGATGTTCTTGGATCTTCCTAGGGTCTTTGTGTGGATATTGTGTTTGGAGGTTCCTGTTCTGCAACGTGGCAGATTAAACCTGTATGTCATTCATAGTCTCTGAGGCCGTTTAAATGTGTGGCTGAGATAAATCTGCCTCTGAATCCTCAGGCTTTCCACTTTCTCATGGAGCTGTAGGTGGAAAAGCGATGGTGACCACAGGCCCTTCTCTCACATGTGTGGGGGTCCCTAGGGGCCTGAGAACGAATCAGTGGCCAACTCCTCCCAGGATAAGCAGTGAAAGCCCCACAACCAGAAAAAGCCCTCAGTCCTGGGCGGATGGAAAGAATTTGGCTGGGAGAGTCTCCATTTTAAAACTTGTAAGGAATCCTCTTAATTCCTGACAGTTTGGGATGGTTGGCCCCCCTACTGCAAATGAAGACCCACATACTTATATCCAAATATTTAAAAATTCTAAACCGAATCAGAGAATGTGAATTGTGAAATAGAGTAGGTTCCACCTTCCTGCAAGACAAATATATAGTGATGATGATGTGGAAGGCTGGATTTGAAGTTGAAAATCTCAGATTGTGTTGAAAGGCACATTGGGAAGAGGGATGAGTGAAATCTTCTAAAATAAAGGATTACTGAGCAGTTTGAAGACTGACTTGCTCTCTTGGGCTTGTAAAATCTTTCCTGCAGCAGGGGTAGTAAATTCCCATGGTGAGGGGGACACCATTTGGTCTAGGGCTTTTGTAAAGGGAGAGGACTTCAGAGGACACCTGAGTCCCCTGCAAGTGACATCAGGAGGGCAGCCACTGGGACTTCTTTCTGCCACTTCATTCATTGAGTTAGTCCTCAAACTGCAGGACAGCTTTCAAGACTCTTCTCAGAGTGTTATAACAGCTATAAGCAACCCTGACGAGACATATTCACATATGGTAACTCAAAATGAGTTTGAAATGGTGTTTGGGATAATACAACTCTTCGATATATGATTGAAATTTACTGGAATCAATGACTTTGCATACATTGATACAGTGCCATCACATGTGGCTGCACAGGATGTGCACTGCACAATTTCCCATCACATGTGACTGCACAGGTGCACAGGGTGGGCACTGCACAGTTTCAAGTGGTGCTATTCACGTGGACTACAATATGAAAGGCGCTCCCTAGAGTTGTGCAAAGCATACACCATATAGCAGTATGCAGCATCCCTGGATGAAAGTACACAGCCATTCATTTCATTTCATTTTTTTTCCCTGCTAAAATAGATATTTTTCTAGTTGAAATGCGTTAACATTCTAATTTGAACACTGGGGCCACTTTTATTTGGTTCTTCATTTAGACTAACCTTGATTATTCGCTGGGGAATGCATGAACAGAAAATTGGCTCATTTCACTTTACTTTAATGGCATTTTCCTGCTAAGGGTTCAGAAGTGAAATGAAAACTGAGTAAGCTTTATGGTTTACAAGTTTTACTGTTTCACATGGCAAGTGAGGACTAAAAGCATAGGAAATAGCTTTGGAAATTCATTTTGCAATCACTTAAATGTTAAAACAAAATTTAATTTTATTTCCAAGTAGACTTTCATGTAGAGACCCAGTTAGCTCTGATTGGAGAATAAGTAGCAAATGTTTTTGTTACCAGTTCTTGTTGATGCTGAGTTAAAAAAAATATTTTGGCATGTCTCATAGGAATACCTTAAAGCAGAATATTCTGATCATCTTGGTAACTTTAGAGCCATCCCCCAAAATTAAATTGATAACTTTTACATTTCTCTCTGACATACCATTTTTTATAGCTTCTTATACATCAATGATTTCAATAGAGGAAGTACATTTTATTTTTGTTTGTTGTGTTAGGGCATAAAAAAGGCTTCTTCAGCCTTAGAAACTCCCCTGAAGATAAGGTGGAGAATAAAATTGTGCTTTGGATAACATTATGCAGGGTGGTTAATAATATGCTCCTGAACGCAAATGGCCCTGCTATGCACTTGACAGTAACCCTCAAACCATCAGAGAATAACAAAAGTGGTATGAAAATTATCTGTCTCTGGAATAAAAATACCAAAACTGCAATGAAAATGGTCGATCGTATAATAGGAACAGTACCAAAAAAAGAAAAATGGTAATAATTCATTGATTACTGAACTTTTTTCAAAGCAATTTGTGATTTTTTTGTGATTTCTTTTCGTTTTTGGAGGGATGAAAGTGGGAGAACTGGGGAGGGGAACGGAGTTAACGTGGAACAACTCAAGAACTTCAAGTTTTGTTTACCTGTCCTGTAAAAGCAGTCTATTAAATTGCGAAACCTCAATGTATGTTTAGCTTATTTTAGTTGGCATAGGTTAGTAATTTTTTGACTCCAAAATGCATACTTACAGATCTTTGCTCTGTTTTGCCTTTTAGGTGCAAACCCAAATTATCCTGATGTAATTTATGAAGGTAGCTATCATGTTTTCTACTTTGTATTTCTTTTTCGCAATGTTTGTCTGTAATGAAATAAATCAACTGAAAGAAGACTCTTCTAAGCTCAGTTAAATACACACTTTAAGCATGACATAGGCCAAAATAGTATTTCAAAAATCATTCAATATTGATGGCCGTTTTCCCTTGACATTTACAGTGCCTGTAAATAGCACTTTCTCTCTCATACCCTGTTCTTGGAAGTAGTAAATCCATTCCGTTGGCTGTAACACATCACATTTCCTTAATTGGGAACTAATTACCTGTTTAAAAGTCATGGCCACCAAGAAAAGGGAGGTATATCAGTTTCTGGCTATGACAGTAAAGCCAATTCAAAATGATGTTTCTTGTATAATGAAGGTGTTTGACTCACAGACAGGAACCTCAAAGGTAGGGCTTGATTTAGGGTTGGTTAAAGCAGCAACTCCACCACGTCGTCAGGGACCCAAGTTGCCTTCATGCTACACTCTTTTGCCCACCATGCCAGCTTCACTGAAGGCTGGTCCCCTTAGGGTTACAAGAGAGTGTCGCGGGGAAGCTGCTGCCATTCACATGGACGGGAGACAGGGAAGCGCTCCTGAAGGCGTCCTCGAGGAAAGAGAACTTCCCAAGAGACAAGAGTCAAGCCCTCTTTGTATCCAATTCAAGACCTGATTGGATTATAGTCCATTCTTGCCCTTATTACTGGTAAGAGGGATGGATTATCCCTTCAGTGACTAAATTCACCTCCAGACATTAAGTCAGCTTCCCCAAAGGTGAATAGGCCTAACCCCTTGAAAAAAAAAATGGGATTCTCTCAGGAATGTGGAAGGAAAGAAACCAAAGTCCCCTATACTACCTTTTTTTTTTTTTTTTTTTTTTTTTTTTTGAGATGGAGTCTCACTTTATTGCCCAGGCTGAAGTCCAGTGGCACAATCTCTGCTCACTGCAACCTCTACCTCCCGAGTTCAAGTGATTCTCCTACCTCAGCCTCCTGAGTAGCTGGGATTACAAGCACATGCCACCACACTCGGCTAATTCTTATATTTTTAGTTAAGACTGGGTTTTACCATGTTGGCCAGGCTGGTCTCGAACTCCTGACCTCAGATTATTCACCCACCTGAGCCTCCCAAAGTGCTGAGATTGCCAGCGTGAGCCACTACACTGGGCCTATATTAGCTTTTGATGGAATATCGCATCTCTCCTTTGCTGTTTTGATCAAATGCCAAGGATGTTTTCCTTGGTGTGAAAACCCATATTTAACAGATTTCCAAGCCAGGAAGCCACTGTTTGGGGAAGTGGAAGGCTACATTTCAAGATTTGGCTTGAAATTTAGGAATGATTAAAAGATTGATTAAAACATTATATTTATATATTTTTCTGTAAAATACTCTGTTCTTTAATTTTATATTTATATATAGATTGATATTTTATTTTTTCTATAAAATGAGCCTGTCTGTATGTTTATTATATGCGTGTGTATTTAACCTGAGCTAATTTTAACTTGGAGAATAATATTGTCTTTACCTGCTTGTGCATGTTAAGACATATTTCTTCCAAGCTGTGGTTTGGTTGATTTTTTGCTTATGATTTGTGTGTTGTTTTGTTTGTATTTGTCTTGATACAGTTTAAAGGAAGAATCTCTCAAATTGTTTCACAGAGAAATACCTTTGTATTGTGGTTTTACATCTTAAAATTACATTTTTGACCCTTTCCCAGTTAATTTGAGACTTTAAAAATGTCATCTTTCTGTTTGCCTCAGATCCCACTTTGGATCTTTGGGCCAAAATGTCATGATATTAAACTATAGACACTTGAATGATTTAAATTTTGTAGATGTAGTTGGTTATAACATGAAGAGGGAAAACTAACCAAATAAAGGATATCCATTAGTGTTCAAAATTAGTAAACTTTAAGATATTCAAAAGGAAAATGGTGAGAATGTGGTTTTGGCGTTAAGAATGAAACAGCAAACACATAGAAAATAGATTTTTTTTTCTGTTATTTTTTATTCACAAAGGAACACTTTGCTAATAAAAATACAATTTAAATTGGTTGCCCCGAGGCCAGCATGATGATTCTACCTGGAGAAGTTTAGCTGGGCTGCATTAACGAGGTGGCCTCTTCAGGATGGAAATTGAAGGCAGTGTACCTATTTAGAATTAAAATACAAACATTATAAACCTCATTGTTTGCAATGAGTTTGCCAAGAGTTTCCTGAGACCTTTTGTATGTGATAAAAACTTTGACAACCCCTGAAAAACAGCCATTATTTCTGTCCTGACCCATGTAGACTAAAATCGATCCAGAAGGCAGCAACTGCATTTGCGACTTGGTGAAATGAGAACAGAGAGTTCACAATTCTAAGTATTGTGCGGGTCTACCTTTTAATCATTCTGAAACTGAAATATTGGCAATTCAGAACTGTTCAAAAAAGTTTATGTGTGGACCCAAGTTTCATACTGATGCTTGTTCCACATCTCCTCTTACGTCTCTGCCCTTTGTGCAAATAAGTTGCACCTGCCCTGGAAATCACTGTTGCTCATTTCAAGTCTGGGGTCACATGTGAGCTCTGCCATCTTCTTGCCTTCACCTAGTCATGTAACTTTCCTCCACTGACATTCTTCAGTGGTAAAACTGGCAGTTATGCTCTGTCTCCAAAGACCTTTCCAGGTCTATAAATCTATGACACATAGATGATCGTACTTGTTTTAAATATGCCATCCATAAAAGGCTATATGCTTATGTGCAAAGAAAAATCCCTGAACCAGGTTTAGGGCTGACCAACAAGACAATGATGTAAAGGTCTGGACTGCATAAAATGTGGGCGTTGTGCAGTCTCAGCACTGCCATGGATTGAACTCAGCAGCCTGGTCACGTCCCTCCACAGCCAGGCTGTCGGGGGTTTGGAATCTTTGTGATTTGTCTTGCTTCGTTCTGGCTCTTACTGTGGCCTTGTGTTTGTTGGCAGCTTAATGATAACTTCATGTTCTTTCTCTTTCCCCCTTTTCCCTCTTAAGATTATGGAACTGCAGCGAATGACATCGGGGACACCACAAACAGAAGTAATGAAATCCCTTCCACAGACGTCACTGATAAAACCGGTCGGGAACATCTCTCGGTGAGTGGAATAAATTGGTGTCTGAATTGGTTCTGAGCGTTTTGGATGCCTCCATGTTAGAGGAATGTAGCTGCTTCAATAAGACATTTTGATTGTTCGGATGTAAATAGGGTGTTAAAGGTTGGAGGAATTAATAAAAAGGCTTAAAAAAAGTGATAAAGGTGTTATACGGCCTTTGACTTATTTGCTGCTTTTGTGCACCACTTTTAGTTGTTAGTGGTTCCTATTTCAATTATCTGTGCTTTAGAAGGGTATCACTAGAAGAGCAAGAACCCCGCTTTATCATTCATGGACTACACCTTCATACCCATCTCCTTAAATTATTAATATAATTTTGACTGCTCACTAGGTGTAAGGAATCCAGTAGCTTCTGAAAGGGACTGGCAGTGGCGGGGATATAATAATATGAACAAAATTAAGATTAGCCATTTAGAATTCATCAGAGACCCTAGAAGTGAATATTAGCACCTCAAATACAAACAGAAGCAGAGCAATGCAGTACAAGAGATAGAAGTGGAGAAGCAGATGTTTTGTTCCTTTGTTCCTGAGCTGGGACACTCAGAGGAGCCTTTGTGGGGCAAGTGACTTTTTGCATGGCCTGTGCAGGAGGGTTGGGATTTTGACATACAGGAATGGAAGGGAAGGGCATTGAGGGCATGTGAACAGGAGCTTGTAGGTGGAGAAACATCGTGAAGGTGCTTGATTGGAGGGTAAGGCGTGTGCAGGACAGCAGGGTTGGAGATATAGATTGTGGCCAGGTTGTAGGTCTTGACACAGAGTTTCAGGTGTGTAGATTTATGGAGCAGTGAAGAGCCATTGAAGAGGGAAGTTGCATGATCCCAGGGGTCTATGGTCAGTTGCTCTGGTCCAAACCCAACAACTTTCTCCAGTTGTTTCTTTTCCTCACTGTCATATGCACACAGCGCTTCCGGTGAGCTCTGCCTCCTTATAAATTCCAAGTCTTTCCATATCTCTTCACCTCCACTGCCACGGTCACAGGCTAACCCAGGGGCTGACAAACGATGACCCATGGGCCAAGTCCAGCTCACCACCTGTTTTTGTATGGTTTGCAGGCTAAGAATGGTTTCTACCTTCTACGTGGTTTAAAACAACAAAAAAGAATGATATTTCATAACACATGAAAGTTTTGTGAAGTTCAGATTTTATTGTCCGTGAACAGAGTGTTACTGGAACACAGTCCCTCATGTTCATTTACGTACTGTCTGTGGCTGCTCTCATGCTCCGATGGGGGTGGAGTAGTGGCAGCAGAGACTGTATGGCCCGCAAAGTGGAAAATATTTACTTCTGGCCCTTTACAAAGAAATTTTGCCTCAGTTGTTCTTTCCTGCATGACCACGCAGCCTCCTAACACATCTCCCTCTCCCACCCTTGGGTTTTCTGGTCTTTTCCCACACAGCAGCCTGAGTGATCTTTGTAAAGCGCAGATCAGATCACTTCTATTTTTTGTTATAATTCTCAGAGCCCTCTCACTGCAATTGCAATAAAACTTTTCATATGACAGCCACACTCTTCATGGTGGCTTATGAGCCCTGGGTGACCTCACCCTTCCCGAGCTCTCTGGCTTCATCTCCCACACTCTTCTCACTGCTCGCCACTTGTCTTTTTCATGCTCTCTCCAGTGCTCCAGTCCTGCTCTTCCTATTTGTGACTCCCCGTCCCAGGCATTTGCTTTCTGATGGCCATCGTGTGGCTTCGGCTAGGTGGCCAGCAGGCAGACATTGCCCCCTTCCATTTTCTTCTGAGCAGTTATCATTGCCTGGAATGACCCCATTTATTTGTTTGTTTAATGTATTTTTCCATTCTCTAGATTCTTTAGTAAGACCCTTAGTAGGGGCAACCTGGTCAGTGTTTTTCACAGCTGTCTCCTTAAGCCCTCAGAATACTAGCTGAAACCTAGTGGGCACCCAGTACATTTTGTAGACTGGCTAGACTTGCAGTGAACAGTATAGGACAGAGGGATTGCAAGTGGGGTGATTCATTAGGGGTATGATAGAGCAATAAAGACATTTGATATGTACTTGAAGCAAGGCCACGAGAGTGGAAATGGGAGGTGCATAAACAGATGCAGTGCAACTGCAACTTTATGCGTATCTAGTACAGAGGTATGCATACATGCACATGCACACAGTGCCGGGATTACAGGCGTGAGCCACCTGGGATTACAGGCATGAGCCACTGCTCCCAGCCTTCTGTTTTTTTTTTTTTTTTTTAATACAGATGATAAATCTAGGCACCTGATTGGCATATCTCCATCTGTAGTATAGTTGCTGGAAGGCAAGATCAGTAAGCTTGTTTATTATGACTTTGTGGGAGGCTCCTAAAATCTGTATGAGAGGCGCAATATTGTGTTTTGTAGAATTTAAAGAAAATGTTACAATTATGTGTGGTTCAGATATTTTATATATGAAGAGTTCTTGATCACAGGAAGGATCATTAGATTAGAAGAGTTTGAGAGCCAAGAAGCAGATACAAAAGTTAAAAATGTTTCTGGTCCAACAAGTGCTCTTGCGGCATTTTGTTGGATTTGCAGGGGAGGGCAGATCTCCCTTGTTCTATCCTAAGAAATATCCTCAGATGAAAACCAAACCATCAAGCAGTCAACCAACCAACCAACCAACCAAACAACCGACCAAACAAACTTACCCATGTTCATCTCCTGTGTAAAAACCACCTCAACACATGCAAGGCACACAAAACTCTGTATTTCTCAAACAATCTGATTTTGAGTAAGTTATTCTTTTCATTGTCACAGGCGTCCTTGTTTACGAAAGGATTTAAATTGAGAATGGCTTCAGTAGCTTTAAGTATTTGTTTGCAGATCCTTAGTGCTTTTCAGCAGTAGAGCCCACTTCCCATTTTCTAGGTTGACTTACACATTCTATAAATAGGTGGAAAAGCCAGGGCAGGCGTTGCTATCTAATGAAGAAGTGCAAGCTTGGGTATGTGAAGCATCTGTTCTAGCTGTCATGACTGGTAAAAGCAAGGTGTCCTGGGAACGCAGGGATCCAGGACTCCTAAATCCCAGTTAAGGACTGTCCAAAGCAGGGAAGAGACTGTACTGTGGTACTGCTGCGTGTACTGCTGCATGGTTGGGGGCCTTTCAGGCAAAGTCATCTAACCTCCCCCATCCTAATTTTCTTATTTATGAAATGGAGTTTGACTTGGTTTATTTAGGTATTCTCCATTTATCTGTAGAAGTCTGCAATTTAATAATAAAGTAAAGAAACTTATAGCTAAAATATGAAGATCTCTTTCCCATGAAAACATTAGTTAGCTATATGACACCATCTTGGATGTCAGATGGGAAGAGCATTAAGTAAGTCACAGAGCACAAAAAGAGGACATGCAAAGCACTTGGCCGGTGTGGAGCAAAGATGTGAAAGATGTGATCATTCTCTTCTCTGGTACTATAACAGTGAGTAGATCCCCCCAAAAATGCTTCTGCAAATGTTTGAGTAGGACTTTTTTTTTTTTGCTTTTTTTTTTTTTTGAGACGGAGTTTTGCTCTTGTTGCTTAGGCTGGAGTGCAATGGCACAATCTCGGCTCACCACAACCTCCACCTCCCAGGTTCAAGTGATTCTCCTGCCTCAGCCTCCCGAGTAGCTGGGATTACAGGCATGCCCCACCACACCCAGCTAATTTTGTATTTTTAGTAGAGACGGGGTTTCTCCATGTTGGTCCGGCTAGTCTTGAACTCCTAACCTCAGGTGATCTGCCTGCCTCGGACTAAGTCCTGGGATTACAGGCGTGAGCCACTGCACTGGGCCAGTACAGACTTAACTCTGTCTCTGCAACCAATATATGAACAGAATGGTAGCAACTCTTACAAAGTTAATTATGGATAAACTTAACCATTTCACTCAAGCTGACCTCATGACTTTGGGTGTTTTTTTTTAAAATCTTTATTTCTAACTAATGTTTTCATGGGAAAGAGATCTTCATATTTTAGCTATAAGTTTCTTTACTTTATTATTAAATTGCAGACTTCTACAGATAAATGGAGAATACCTAAATAAACCAAGTCAAACTCCATTTCATAAATAAGAAAATTAGGATGGGGGAGGTTAGATGACTTGGCCTGAAAGGCCCCCAACCATGCAGCAGTACACGCAGCAGTACCAAGTACAGTCTCTTCCCTGCTTTGGACAGTCCTTAACTGGGATTTAGGAGTCCTGGATCCCTGCGTTCCCAGGACACCTTGCTTTTACCAGTCATGACAGCTAGAACAGATGCTTCACTTACCCAAGCTTGCACTTCTTCATTAGATAGCTTGAGTCCAGGAGGTCAAGGCTGCAGTGAGCCATGATTGTGCTACTGCACTCCAACCTGGGCAACAAAGTGAGACTCCGTCTCTCTCTCTCTCACACACACACACACACACACACACACACACACGCACAGAGAAATCTCCCGTGTTTTTTGGTTTTTATTTTTTATTTTCTCTCTCTCTTTCTCTCTCTCCTCCCTCTTTAGGTGGATGGAGAGAGAGAGATGTAATATTTTTAAAATGCCAATTGGATAGCCATTTTTACAAGCTTTAACTTATGTCTGTAGGCATAATAATAGATCTTACATACTTCACTCTAGGGTTGTCGAAGATTAAGTGATTTGGTATACATAAAGCTGTTATAAGAACAAGCGATAAGCGTTCAATAAATATGAACTGCCTGTATCATTATCATCATCATGATCATCATCACCATGTGATTATAGGGAACTAATTAGCAAGGTTATAACTACCCTCCCTTCCTTTCTCTAGGTCTATGCTGTGGTGGTGATTGCGTCTGTGGTGGGATTTTGCCTTTTGGTAATGCTGTTTCTGCTTAAGTTGGCAAGACACTCCAAGTTTGGCATGAAAGGTAAGAAGGGTTGTGTTTATTTAGCTTCTTATGTGGATCATTTTTGGCTTATGACTAATGCTAATTACCACTAAAGAAGGAAGCGGCTAGATTTATGATGATTAAGTTTTAAGGCTAAAAAAATAGCAACAAGACTTTGATACTACAAATCAAGACAGGACAAAATAATGTTGATTACTCAGCACTACCCACTTTTCCAAGACAACAGTTGTCCCAGAAAACAGAAATGGGTTCTTGATTATCAAGGGACTAATAAAGATATGACAAAGAAATAGTACTTGATGTTTCTTTTGCTCCAGAAAGGCAGGTGAGACACAGTGGCGATAGGATAGTCTGGACACGTGTATTTTGTGCAGAAAGGTCTATTCTGCTGTACATTTGATTTCCAAATCTTCAGTGGTATGCTTTTGGTGTTGCTCCTGCTTTTCCAGGTCATCACTCTTTGAAATTTAAACAACAGTGTTATGAAGCAAAATAAGAGCAGCTATCGGCAGTACATGGAAGCTTCGTGAATGCATAGATATTTTTTTAATTTAAGCGGAAAAATTATCAGGGCTGGATTAAAAATTAGTCACTAATTGACCCAAAATAGATAACTTGTTGTTTTTAGAGGACTGAAAATTAATTTTACAGGGAAAACTTGTGTAAATTTCTTGTTACATAAAAAAAAATGCCTTGGAGCAGTGATTTAATGGTTTAAGTTTCAATGATGTAAAACCATTTGCTCTGAAGGTTAAACGTATGTATTGGATAATATGCTAGTGTTGTATTTTGTGCGGTCTCCTATAGATAGACACTATTTAAAAGTGTCTAAATGGGAATGCTGTGAAGAAGGTTTAGTGGTGTTTTATTTGCGTTGGAGAGTAGGTCAGGTGGATTTTCTTTATCCGCATGGTCTGTTAGAATTACGGGTAGTGTTGCTAATATTGCTATTTACTTGAAAGGGAATGTTTCAGTAGCAGTAAGTTGCCCAGCATACACTGACATCTGGGATAGAGCAGATCTATTTCTGGTGTTTCCTCTTTTCCCTTTGTTGGTGCCTGTGAAGATTTCTAAGCCAGAAATGAACAGGGAGGAGTGGTGGTAAACTGGGGCTTAAAATAACTCCAAAAACCTCATCCTGGTTCCTGCTTGGCCAGCTGATCCTTGATGTTTCTTCAGGGGAGGAAAGATCTTTCGTTCTCCAATTATAAATAAGGCTTGGGAGAGGGACCACCCCACAGTGATTTTAATTCATCCTGTAGGGTGGTTCTCAAACTTGACTGTGTGCCAAAAACTCCTGTAGAACTTGAGAAAACACAGATTCCTGGGCTACCCCCAGAGTTTCTGCTTTAGCAGGTCTAGTGTGTACCTGAGAACTGGCATTTCTAACAGTTTCTGGAGGATACTGATCCTGCTTGCCCTGGTTGTTGTGTTCTCTACACAACAGTGTAGAGAATCACTGTTCTCTACGGTAAACATGGACTGCCAGGCCCCCTTCAGAGTGTGACAAGGTGTTGCGAGAGACATCGCAAACCAAACTTACCCACAGCTTTGCACACCTTTTGGAATCTCCATGTCTCAGCTGCACCCAGGCCCAGGCTAGGCGGCTGCTCTGTGCGTGCCGCTCCCTACCATGGCATTTGGTGGTTCTTGTGTTTATCAGGTACTTTCCTTCCTTAGAGGCACTTGGACTGGATGTCTCTAAATGTAGATTTCACTGGAGGCTACCAACTCCTAACAGTAGAGTTTCCGGTCTTGAAGGGTTTCGTTTGAAAGATTTCATCCCATGAGCTTTTCGGAGAGAGGATATATCCAGGTTCTTCTGGGATCTCAGCAAAAGCTGAATGGGAATCCATGGAGCAAAATTTAGGAGCTTCTTCCCACCCTTGGTTTAGGAAAACCACTGGCAGAATTACCAGTAAATGGCAACCTACTCCTTATAACGTGGCAATGGAGGAGAAAAAATGTAGACATTTTCTTTCAGAGAAGAAAATTATGTGTCATATTGAGACTCCAGCACTAAGGCTGAAACAGTATTTCATTTAGACAATTTGGGGTGATTACCACTAAAGCTTCTATGTTTTCTGAGTATAACCTGAGGCCATCCTTAATGAATTATAAGAAAGAGTGTGCTTAACCCTGCCACAGAGCCAGTAAATGGCTTCCTACAGCAGTAACTACTATATATGTTGTATGTTTTGTTCCCTCATTCCTACACACAAATAAAATCATTTTTAGAAAGTTTGTCTCCGATACTTTTTTTTTTTAGAATAGCTTACTGTTCCATTTTAAGCTACATGTCTATCTGGGGCATGATGTGAGCAAAAAGAGCCTGATCTAGGGTTACTGTTTTGCAAGTCATATGTCGAGTTGATAATCTTTGGGGATCTAGAAATTAAGTTATGGTTCGTGCATTTAGTACAGATGAAACCGTGTAAAACGTGATATTTAAACATTAATGTGAGTCAGTGTATTTTAAATGCTATTAGAGCTGGGATTACCACTGAAAAACATACGTCTTAAAAAAGAGAAGACTATGTAAAAATATTATTACGCTTCCCAAAATAACCAGGCAATATATTGGTTGTGGTTTCTTAGTAAGAACAGTATGAACTGTGTGTAGCCTTGGCCAGGACTAGGCACCATGTAAGAGGCTTGTGGCTGCTATGCAGATGAACTATTCAGAATGTTATTCCTCCCTCCCTAAGCATCTTTGGGGAGGGTCTAAGTCCATCCTTATTCTCTTATGCTGGAGGCAGATGGAACAGGAGGAAGGTGGCCAGTCCACCCATAGGCACTCACAGCTTTTTGCCCATCCCTAGCAATGCACGGTTTATCTTGAGTGTTTGACTGTTTCAATCTGTAATGGAAACCTTGATAATATAAACGACAGTTCAATGCTGTTGATATGAAGGGCCCAGAGCAACAAACCCCAGAAACCTCTTGGGGTCACCACACTACGGCTGAATGCAGGGCAACACAAGCTTTATGGATTGACCTGAGATCCACCCCTTACACCTGCAAACATTATTTATGGTGTTGCTCCCATGGGGAGGTGATTTCTAAATTCCAAACTAGTGAGTGAAACTTGGATTTGTAAATACAGCCAGTGAGTTGTGGTGTCGTCTTTGAAGATGGTCTGCAGGTCTGTAAGCTTCATCAGGTTTTGTTCCTTGTTCTGTGGATTCATTGTAAACCAAATGCTAGATGGTCCACTCCAGAACAGGCAGCACAGACTTTGAGCTCCATGACAACAGCTTTCTTATTTGTGATGTTCATCTTTATCTACTGCGTGCTTAGCCCAGAGTTGGTGCTCAATACCTATGAATGACAGAATGATCAGAGAAGATTTTCAACTCCATCTACCTAAGTTTGGTAATTGGAAAACAGTTAGTATTTGGAGGATGGTTAAACTGTGAGTGGCTAAAGAGAGAACCTGAGACTTTTTTAAGTTTCTAAAAGAGACAAAGTCCCACCTTTTTTTTTTTTTTTTTTTTTTTTAGTTTATTCCATGTGAGTCACGGCCATAGACAAGAGATCAATTTGTCCAAGTTTTGTCTTAGAGTATGTAGGTTTTCACACACTGTTTTAAACAATCATCCTTGTTTAAGTTTGGAGGATTCACTTTGACTTTTTATTCTGCATGTGAACGTCTTCAATTTCTACCTCCCTACCTTTGAATGTATAGTTTTGGAATATGTTATTTTTTCAGTTCTGATGTCGGCAAAAGTGCCAGATTGGGGATTATATCTTGCTGTAAACTTAGAATTTATATTTTATTCTTGCTTGATAGAGTTTAAGCTTCTTGCTGCTAGTGTCCAATAGGCTCCTGGCCCTGTTTTCATAAAGATGTCAAGGGGCAGGATTTCTCCCAGTCAGTTTTTCCTTGTTCATTTCTGTGCCTTTACACTGTCCTATTGCTTTTTTGGTTGATATGTAGCTACCGTAATTGCAGAAGCCACAAATAATGCCCCTTTGTTAGTGTTAGCCACCTATGTAGGGATTATTCATACATATGTTTAATATGAATGTGTAAAATGTATACCAAATCTATCTAAATTGGTGTCGGTATCAATATCCCTATATGAAAATGCATAATATTATCCCTCTTCTTCTAAGGCTGCCTCTGGTTTGTTTTAATTTTAGTTTTCACCAAAGTAGTGCTGAAAGAATTTTCCAGAACAGCTCCATTGCCAAAGGAATAGGCAACCATGCCTTTGAATGCTCTCCTTGTGTTGTAACCAAGTCTTGTGTTTAGCTCTCGCTTTACTTCCTGGCTCTATGTCTTCATTGAAGATGTAGGAGTGCATGTGAAGGGAAAATGGAAGCATTGAGGAGCGCCAGGGCTGCCAAGTCTTCAAAGGGTGCTCCACATTGGGAGCCCTGTCTGTGGCATTGATGGTGTACAGGGTTGCAAAAAATATACAGGAGCCAGCAGGGAGGAGGGAACTTGGCATTCATCACCCCGCTGGAGGATACATTCCGCTATCGGTTTTGTGTTATTTACATTTCCTGATGGAAGTCCACATATGATATCTAATTCCTAAGTACTAATGCAGGCTTTGTCACTCGAGAGTGAAATCTCTAAATGATCCTAAGAAATCTCTGTAGAAGAACCTAAAAGAGGAAGCTTTCTTCTCATTCAGTGTTAATAGCCTGCACAGATTTCCTCTGCAGCCTCTGATTCTTGTATGTAAACTGCCCTATCCACATTCATTTATGCTACTTAAGTGTTGGAGGTTTCCAACTAGTAAAGGCTGGAAAGCTACTCTGCCTGTGGATGCAGATCTGGGTTTTCCTAAGTCCAGACTCAAAGCCCACAGTTCAACTTTCCGCTCTTATAAATGATCTCTGAGTGTCTTTCAATAGCAACCAAAAATCTGCCTATTTAAAAATAGTCATAAACATAGTGGGGCCAAAGCTAAAGAGGTTGAAGGTTAAAGTCTTTTATATGAGCTGAAAACAATTCTGGGAAGTTTAAGAGGTTGAGTTTAACAGATATTTGGATCAACTTTTAA